TTTAAATTCTAAAAATTTGTGTATAAAACCCCCAAACTTTTCCACTTAAGAGCATTTGGGACTCATAAAATCTAAAACAACCTATCATTTCTGTAAACATGTGGGAAATGTTCAGCTAGACATCAAATGGTACAAGATAGTGGGAGAGGGACACAGCACTCCTGCAACTAACACCAAAACACATACGGAGTTTAAACATAAAGACTTTTACCTACAAATGAAAGTTTGTAACAAAGTGAATGAACAATGTAAGTACTTTTTTCTCTTGCTGGGAGGCAAGTTTGGAGTTTCAAGGTTACTAAAGAAGATAATAGTTTTAGTACTTCTTGCTAGGCAGAGGCTGATGAACATACTGGCAATAGCAGAGGCATATCACAATTTGGAAACACATGGCAATACACAACATGAAACTACTGAGTATCATCATTTGTTAGGATGTCTGCTAGCATCTGCATATATTTTGATATACTTTCATTCCTTACTTAAATCTGTCTTACTGATTCTTTTGTCCTTTGAAACACAAGCACTGAAAAAATAACAAATAACCCTTAAAATCCATATTGATGAAGAACAATTAGCAAAGAAAAGAACTGTATTCATTTATATTCTACATTACTAAAGTTAAGAGATTCTGTCTTATGTTCTTGACTGAATGTTTATGCACAAAAGTTGTTTTAATTAAAAAAATGTGCAATAGGAAGTTAGACTTACTGTATTAATTTACACATCTTCAAATACATTAATATCATGATTTAACTTTTTTTCTTAAAAACATAAAACAAAATGTGAAGGTTTTACAAAATAATAATGAAAAAATTGATTTAGTTTTACTTACTGCTTCTGTGTGTACTGGATGCACAGCAAAAAGTAAAGAAGCAACCACACTACTCCTGTTGTCTAGAAAAAGTTTGCAGACTTTAAGAAATATCACACTAACCACAGCATGAAAAATCAGATTTAGGAGATGATATGACATTGGCTTCAGTTCACTGAACAGATAATTTAAGCGAAATGTCAATACTGTTAAAGGACGGTAAGATTTGTGGCTTCTCTCCTAAAAGAAGAAACAAAAACAAAAAACCAATCATTGATTATTAAAGTAACACAGTCCCTCTGGGTGGGTACGTAAATTACCTATCTTTATGGAAATAATGTGCGCCTGCTATGTTTGTTTCCCAACCATGCCCCAACCCCCCTGCAACGTATTTTCTTAAACACCACTATGCCAGTTTTTTCTTTTAAGTGTTGCTGTACAAAAATTAGCATAGTGTGCCTACAAAAATACCTTATGGAGGAGGGGTGCAGTTGGCAAACAAACGTAGAAGGCACGTGTTATTTGTGTAAAAACGTGGTCATCATTGCATTTCCTATTGAAGGTATATCCATTTGCCTGAGAAATAACAACAATGAAATGGCCCAAGAGTAACACAAACATGAAAGATACCTTTATAATCTATGCCTCCCTATCTCCTTAGTCCAAAAACAAGGTGATCTCCTTCATGACACACAGTGGTCAGAGAATTAACAGTAGAGAAAGAACATCTATTAACTCCTCTTCACAGATTTAAAAAAAAGTAGGGCATTGGTAACACCAATCAAGCTGGAGCACAGAATTCTCTTCCTCAGCTATTACCAATATAAGAGCTTATATAACTGTTGGACAGATGTTCAAAAGGAAACATAAGAACAGAATGCTTATTAGCTCAGTTCAAACAGTGATGACTAAAAACTGAAACCAGCTGCCATTAAGCTGATTGACTCATGGCAACTCCATGCGTGTCAGAGTAGAACTGTGCTCCACAGGGTTATCAATGGCTGATTTTTCGAAAGTAGACCGCCAGGCCTCTCTTCTGAGGTGCCAGTACTATCCATTTGTTTTATGAAAACATCTCTAATATATATAAGCCTGAATATCTGAAACTCCAAATCCCCAGATACTGCATACAGGGTAATACAACAGCAAAAATCTGCATGGTGTGCCTTGCTGGCAATAAATCAAATTTTACGTGAAGTACTGAATTTCTTTTTAAGTT